ACACGACTAGAAATCAGTGGTTAAGTTGTATTTACAACACTGTTCCAGAACAGTTCAGCCCAAATATTCAGATCTGAGCAACGCATTTTACGGAGGACGAGGACTGTTTCCTTGGAGAGTATAGCCTACAATGCCGTGATGCTGACAAATAATGCTGACTCACAGCCTGTAAGTACGTTTTAATATTTAAAGCCACTGATGATTCAAACGCAAGTTTTGAGCAGTGTAGAGTAGCGCTTGTTGTTTGTCGTTTCTCTGATCGGTTTTATGTTTACGCGGCACGATACAACGCAACACGTAAAAAGACAGTATAAGTCATTATAATCTGTAAATATGTCCCCACTGGATGCAATAAATGCCTCGTTTGTAATGGGTTTTATTGGTGTTGTCTCATCATCAACATTTCCGTCACACGCTTGAGGTATTCGGCCAATCACAACGCACTGGATAGCTGGCCAATCAGAGCACACCTCGCTTTTCAGACCGATGAGCTTTGTAAAAATCAACGCGTTTCAGAAAGGCGGGGTATAGAGGAGAAACAATAATGTACAGTATGTGGAAAATAATGTGTTTTTTAACCTTAAACTGCAAAACACGTTGCATTACACCAAATACACAATATAATGTTCTTTTTTAGCAACGTCATATGACCCCTTTAATGTTTTAATCTAATGTTTATATTCTATTTGAACAATTATCAGTATGCGTTTTACTTGGAAATCAAACCTATGACTTCAGTAGAACAACAGTGAACTGCGGTCAGATGTGATGTTGTCAGGCCATATGTCAGTAAAAACCAATGTTCCTGTCCTGTCAGGCGATATACTGTGCTCGTAGCACGTGCTCTCACTGCACAAATGTGCTGGCGTGCTGTATATCACTTCATGTTAAAGCGCAAAAGAAACCATGAGCATGCACGTCTGCAGTTAAGTCATGAAATTACCAAAAAAGGCAATTAAAGCTCCCTAAAAACTGTGCATGCATGTAAGTATCTGTTATACATGAGTCACATTTAAAAACATGTCTCTGAAATGCAGTGGTTTTCAAAACTGTCTCCCTCATTTAACACACCCGATTCAACTCCTCAGCTCATAACAGAGACTTTAAGACCTGAAGTGGGTCAGAAAAGGTAAAGAGTTGTGAGAAAATGCGATGCGTGTCAGATCCGCGTTAATTTCAGCCGCGGCAGCTCTTAAAGCAGCCAAAATAAGCTAAAAACCAGCTGCTGTGATGTCTGTTCATCAAAGAACAAAAGAGAGGAAATCAATCACTTTTGTATCTTTAAGGATTCATCTATATTAAATTTAGAATTTAGTGTTTGATAACTTTATTCCATTTCTGTATATTTCCTACTTGCTGAAGGGCACAGGCAGCTAAATATGACATTCATTATAATGGGTTTATGTGAAGACTTAAATCTTCAAGTTCACTTAAATTAGAAGTGGTTATTTTTTAAACTTTATTATATTATTAAACTACATTATACTGTAATGTTGAATGGCTATAGTCAATGGTTAAATATTAGGAAAAAAAACTATTTCATAGAGACATCAGTAGCATTGGTAGGAGTGATACTCTAGTGATACTAGATACCACTAAACAAATATAAAAAAATATACTCTCTTTATGTTGTTTCCACATTAATTTGAAGATTGCATGTGAAATTATTGCAATATAAAAGTATATTTAAAAACTTTAATGTTAGGTGGGATTAATCGTGATTAATTTCAGAAACAAATGTACGATTAATTAGTGAAAAAAAAATGTTTATCGATTGACAGCACTAATTTTCAGGAGTTTTTCAAGGAGATTTAGGGAGAAACATCTGAGACAGCGTTCAAGACAAAGTCTTCTCTTGAGACTTAACATTCAGTAACATTTTCCTCTATGTTGTCGGATTGTACCTGCTCTTCTATTTTCTTGCGCAGCTGCTGGACTCGGTACGAGAGCTGCACGTTGATGACCAGCCGTCGCATGGTTTGAAAGCGCCGGCGCACCAGCCAAGCTCGAGCGTATTTCTGCAGAACCAGAGCCTTGTGTTCTGCCACCATCTACAATAATACAAAGAATCACAATCAAAACGTGTGATTATGTGATAAAGGTCAAAAGACACTTTATCACAAATCATGAAACACTTCAAACAAAATGACAAACGATGAGACTCTGCCTTTCTGTAGCGCTTGCGGGCCATCCATCCTCTGGTGTAGGCCTGTATGATGACTGCAGCCCTCAGGACGAGCTGGTAAATCCTCCGGACCAGATACCCACGACAGTGTCTCTGGATCACCACAGCGGCCCAGGCCTGCTTCAGTGCCAGAGCTGTTATGCTGCGTCTGCAACAGGACGGTTTTTAATGTTCTCCAAAAGCAGCATTAAATGAAAACACATGACGAGTTTATGCATTTCATATGTGCTATTCTTCAATTGTTTGTCTATGTAAACATTCAACAGATTGAAATCTTTGGTTGCATCACATCAGCCAAATTTTGTGTCTTGCAAATTCAAATGTATTTGTATAGCGCTTTTCACATTACACATCGTTTCAAAGCAGCTTTACAGAAAATGCATGTGTCTACATTACAATTTAATGACAAAAATGACAAACTTGACTTGACGCATCCCTAACTGTCAGGGTTATTGTTGTTAACGAAAACTAAAACCATTAAATTTTTTGTAACATGAATTCAAATAAACTTGAACTGAAACAGACTTTAAAAAAACATACTTATTTTTTATTTAGTTGCCAAGGTAACGTTTAGTTAAACCTGATGTACTAAAATAGCTAAAACTTAAATAAAAATTAATAAAAAAAACTAATTAAAAATAATAAAAATGGCAAAAACACAAAACAAAATTACTAAAACTAAAATGAAAATGGAAAATATAAAAATGAAAACGAATTCAAAATATTAATAAAAACTAAAAAGCATCTCAATGATACTAAAATAACACTGGAATGAGTGAATGACAGTTTAAAGTTCAATATCAATTTTATGGACTACTTTTATGGTGCTCGTTTGTCATTTTTGGTGTTTGGGTTGCTTAACATGTTTTGTATTTGAGGGAGGACAGGAACATAGGGGTTTTACCTTTTTTAAATGCTCAAGATCGCTGTATTCTGCTTTATTCTGTTGTGCTAATGCTAATTTCTACAATTTTTTTTCTGTGTACACGATCGCTCAAAAGGTTTGGGGACAGTATTTCTTTTCTTTTTTTTTTTTACTTTCATTCTGCAAGGATGCATTAAAATGATCAAAAAGTGACAATAAAGAAATTTATAATGCTACTAAACATTTCTATTTAAATAAATGCTGTTCTTTTGAACTTTCTATTTTTCAAAGAATCCTAAAAAATGTATCATGGTTTCCACAAAAATATGAAGCAGCACAGCTGTTTTCAACATTAATAATAATCAGAAATGTTTCTTAAATCAGCATATCAGAATGATTTCTGAAGGATCATGCGACACTGAAGACTGGAGTAATTATGCTGAAAATTCAGCTTTACATCAAAGGAATAAATGACATTTTACAACATATTACAATTGAAAACGGCAATTTTTAATTGTAATATGTTTAACAATATTACTGTATTTTTGATCAAGAAAGTTTGGATTGTTTTTTTTTTTGGATTGAGTTTTGGATTGCTAGTGCTCTGGAAACACTCACCTGATCTGTTTCTTTCCACGCACGTACTGTTGGATAGTGATGGCAGCTTGTCTCATGTGCAGGAACCTGCGCCTCTGCCTCCAGCCCCTCACGTGCTTCTGGATGCTCACGCAAGCCGCAGCTTCTCCAGGTACGCCACCTGTCCCGCCCGGAAGAAGATCTTACTCCGACCGAACTTGTACTGGTTGGAATCCTGTAATGGACCAGAGAGGACTTTTTTTCAGAGCATGGCTGAAGAACACGAGCTCTCAGATATAGCACAGCACGTTTCTCTTACAGGAATGAGTCTCTGCAGAACCGTCTTGCACGTCTGCTTCTTCTCTCCCAGCTTCAGCTCCGACTGGCTCATCAATATACTGTAACGGCTGTAAAACTCTATATACGTCCATCTGTGAAGATGGACAGAAACGATGAGAACTGTACAAATTAGGAAACATCACTAATCTGGACATCTGTGGCCATTTCAACCTGGGTTGGTTGGATTTTCTGATGTGTTTTTGATTGCTCCAGTGTTTCTTGAGATTTTTGTTGAATTGTCCACAATTTAAAAAAAACAAAAAAACATTAATAATTCTCACAAAATCATGGCTAGATGAAAAAATAGATTTAAAAAATCATGAGATAAAAAACAAGAAATGACATTGTGCATGAGGCAATGTATGATAATTAAACAGATGATACAATGATTTTTTTTAAATACTACAATTATAGTGTTTTTCAAAATTGTAAATAAAATAAATGTATTAAATAAAAATGATCACGATGCAAAAATAATTATAATCATACTAATTATAGGGTTTCTTAATTATCCTAAATATAGGGTTTTCTTTCAGCAAAATATAATGTCTTGTGATTTTAAAATAAAATATGACCTGGACATGTTATTTTGTCATTTTTATTCATTTTTTTATATTTCTATTTAGCTTTAATTTATTTGTATTTGTTCTAGTAATTTAGTACTTCAAACAAAAATTTTATTTCAGTTAGTTGCCAAGGCAACATTTAAAATTGTCATAAGGTTTCTAACTTCTTTTAATTTGTATATTTTATTTAAGATTTATTTCAACTAAATTTGACAAATTTTTGTTTTAGTTAACAGACACACTAATATCCTTCACACATAATTCACTATAGATCAATCACAACACACACTGGCCCAGCTAACAAATCACAGCACATTTCATATTTTAAAATCAAGACTTTGTAAAATGTAATAGGACCCCTTTAAACTTAATTAAACATAAAGGGAGCTATTAGGTTGATACCTGACTAGCACGCATGATGTCCACCAGCTCTTCATAAAGTGTGTCTCTGTTCTTCTCCAAAAAACCTTTACACTGGTATTCTACCTAAAATAAAAGAAAACAGTTTTAGTTCTTCATACACCATTTTCAGTTTTTAAGACAATATAGGGAGGTAATAGTTTCTCACCTTATCAGCAAAATGCTGAATCACAAAAGAGTCATTAGACATTCGGGGTTTCTCAAACAGCGGCTTTGAGCCTAGAAAATTGTACAGCTTTTGCAGCCAGTTTTTATCAGTGCCCTGCAGGAACTGTGGGAGATCAAAAACGATTCAGTTAGTGCAAAAAATAATCATAATGATCCTAAATATGGGTTTCTTTAAGCAAAATATAATATCTTATTTCTTCCTTTTGATTTTGAAGCAAAATATGACCTGGACATGTTCTTGACAGGTTTCATAAAATTATAAAACTGCAATCCGTCACTATAGATATCAGTCTTATGTTAGAATTTTTTTAATTAGTTAATTTTCAGTTTTAGTTTAAGTTTTAATCATTTTGTTTTGTGCTTTTGTCCTTTTTCTTAGTTTTTTATATTCCTATTTAACTTAAATTTATTTTTATTTAAATTTTTGTTTTAGCAATTTAGTATTTCAACCTAAAACGTTATTTCAGTTAGTTAGTTAGTATAAAAGGAGACAACCTGGAGTGAACATACTAACAGCAAAATATGACCTGGACATGTTCTTGACAGGTTTCATAAAATTATAAAACTGCAATCCGTCACTATAGATATCAGTCTTATGTTAGAATTTTTTTAATTAGTTAATTTTCAGTTTTAGTTTAAGTTTTAATCATTTTGTTTTGTGCTTTTGTCCTTTTTCTTAGTTTTTTATATTCCTATTTAACTTAAATTTATTTTTATTTAAATTTTTGTTTTAGCAATTTAGTATTTCAACCTAAAACGTTATTTCAGTTAGTTAAAGTTAGTATAAAAGGAGACAACCTGGAGTGAACATACTAACAAAAAAAAAAAACACCTCTTTGAGAGAGCAATGAGATTAAATGAAGATCAAGTGGAAACTCTGGAGACATTTCACTATTTCTCACCAAATTCTCCTAAAACCAATTCACCTAAATTATTTGTGTCCTAACCAGGAACATTTACTGTCCTTGACACAGTAAAAAATAACAGCCAATCAGAAAACATGCTTATGCTTAATATTCAGCAGTGTGGTGTGCGATTGTGGACCAATAAATTGTGAGATTTAATTGTGGGCGGAGCTACCCAGCAAGCTGCAACAGTAATATAAACCACCACTTTCTTTCACGGTTAAAAGCAGGTTAAGACAGAATATTTTATCCACAGTGTTATTCTCACCAGACACTCCTCATCCAAAAGGTCCAGAATGCCCATCTTAGCCTCGATGAGGTCAATAACGGGCTGATTGTCATAGAAATCGATCAGCGTCCAGGGAATATCCTCTTTCATGTACTCCTCCTGCTCCAGTTTAAACACGTGCTGATAGGATGATAATCAGAGACATGTTTTTATAAGTTCCACTACAAATCAAATGTAATTCATGGAAAGATGATACAGATGAACCCACCAGGTTGAACTGCTGCTGCAGCTTCTCGTTGGCGTAGTTGATGCAGAACTGCTCGAAACTGTTCACGTCAAAGGTCTCAAATCTAGAGGAAGCCAAAAGACAGATCAACATTAGAACAAATGCTACACTAAAAGCCCGTTCACACCAAAAACGATAACTATGACTATTTTAGCGCCCACACAAATGTGCAATAATGTTCTGTTTATTATAAGCGCAGTGCAGTTTAGTCATCTGCCGCTTTAAATACTTGAGTTCTGGAAGGGATTCCAACAGTATTGTTCCTCTGTGCCATTATCTTTCTTATCATATATGTTTATCGTTCTTGGTGTGAAAGGGCCTTAATTCTATCGCTCATGCAAACAGGGTCTAAAACTAGCATTTTACTGCTTGTACTTTAGAAAATTTAACGGCCATTAAACTGTGTGTGCATTATTTCCTTAAAGGGGTCATATGACGCAATTTCAAGTTTTCCTTTCTCTTTGGAGTGTTACAAGCTGATTGTGAATAGATAAGATCCCTAAAGTTGCAAACACTAAAGTCTCAAACACATAGAGATATTCTTTATCAAAGTTAAGACTCTGCCACGCCCCCCTGAAACGGCTCGTTCTAACACGCCCCCACATATCTACCTCACTATGTGGAAATAAGGCAGAAAAAAATGAGGAAACAGCAATTTTTACTATTGTTCATATTTTTTATTTACATTTATTTAAAGATTATTATTAAAAACTAAACAAATCTATAGAAATATCGCTATAATACTGTTGAACTAAGTTTTAGTTTATATACTCCTACTAGTACTACTTCTACTACTAATAATTAAAATAATATGTAATAAAACTTCATAGTTGTTTTTTTTCCTTTACTTTCAAATGCATAGAGCTTTTATTTTGGCAGAAAAACACCGTTATCATGAGTGGCTCATGTGTAAAGTTCACATCGCAGCGCATCAGATTGCATTTTTATATAATTTCAATTCAGCTTTCGCAATTTGATAATTGCACTAAAACATATCACGTTCTCAGGCATTTTTATAATTAATATTAATAAGCGACTGTCCAACTGGCGAGTAACACTGTTTCATTTATTCGCCATCGCCGATTTTTACTTGCATTTGGTGCTTGGCATGTGTTAATTTTAGGCCCTGCATGCAAATATACATGTAAATGAATTCAAGCTGACATACCCATAAATATCCAACACCCCAATAAATGAATGTTGTTTCCCAGGGATCATTAGTGCCTGGTTGATCTTGTGGATGACCCAGTTGAAAAGATGGGCATAGATGTGTTTGGCAAGTGCATCACGAGCGTTGATGGCACGTTCCTTGGGTTGTGGTTTCACCACCGTCTCTGCTGACAGGACTATCCGTCTGTGACACAGCCAGCGGCTCATGTTGTCCATGTTGATGCCCATCAGCTCACAGAATATGGCCAAGTGAGGGTCTCTGAACTGGAGAGAGAGCAGAATGAACTTCCGATGAAACACCTTCAAAGTCTTGATTTGGCTTAATGTCAATTATCAACGTAAAACACCTAAAACTGCACAGATAAGAATATTTCTTACACCGATGGACGATTTCTCAGAGCCGTTCTCCTTGATTACCACGTTTCCCAAATGCAGAATCGCAGCGAGCACCTTAAACACGTCAGCCTGAAAACTGTCCTTAAGACCTGAAGAGAAACAAGGCTGCATCACAGCTGAAAGAACAGAAGGATTTTGCTCTTGATAAATATGATAAAAATAAACCAGACGCTTCTGTTACCCAGTAGACTGAAAGTTCTGCGTGTTTCTGCCATGTCAGCGCGGTCATCCACGCCTTCGATCTCTGTCTCACCACCCAAACGTGTGTAATTAAACTTGTCTGCGGCCACTAATGAAAACATGAACTTAAAGTCACTTTAACCAGTCCAGAGTCATGATAAGGAGTTATTTTAGTGTCTGTACTGTATACTCCCTAATATTTCTAGCATATTCGTAGTATTACTGCATAACAGTATTCAGTATGCAATGATAAATTATAATAATAATTATAGTTTTTGAGTTACAATGTAGATAGGTGGATAGATGATAGGTAGTCTGACAGACAGACAGAAAGAGACAGACAGACAGATAGACAGATAGATAGATAGATAGATAGAAGGATAAATAGACAGACAGACAGACAGACAGACAGACAGACAGACAGACAGATAGACAGATAGATAGATAGATAGATAGATAGATAGATAGATAGATAGATAGATAGATAGATAGATAGATAAATAAACCAGACGCTTCTGTTACCCAGTAGACTGAAAGTTCTGCGTGTTTCTGCCATGTCAGCGCGGTCATCCACGCCTTCGATCTCTGTCTCACCACCCAAACGTGTGTAATTAAACTTGTCTGCGGCCACTAATGAAAACATGAACTTAAAGTCACTTTAACCAGTCCAGAGTCATGATAAGGAGTTATTTTAGTGTCTGTACTGTATACTCCCTAATAATTCTAGCATATTCGTAGTATTACTGCATAACAGTATTCAGTATGCAATGATAAATTATAATAATAATTATAGTTTTTGAGTTACAATGTAGATAGGTGGATAGATGATAGGTAGTCTGACAGACAGACAGAAAGAGACAGACAGACAGATAGACAGATAGACAGATAGATAGATAGATAGATAGATAGAAGGATAAATAGACAGACAGACAGACAGACAGACAGATAGATAGATAGATAGATAGATAGATAGATAGATAGATAGATAGATAGATAGACAGACAGACAGACAGACAGACAGATAGACAGACAGACAGAAAGAGACAGACAGACAGACAGACAGATAGATAGATAGATAGATAGATAGATAGATAGATAGATAGATAGATAGATAGATAGATAGATAGATAGACTTACTGATTGATGATAGGTAGTTTGACAAACTACCTATCATCAATCAATCTATCTATCTATCTATCTGTTTGTCTGTCTGTCTGTCTGTCTATCTATCTATCTATCTATCTATCTATCTATCTATCTATCTATCTATCTATCTATCTATCTGCCTGTCTGTCTGTCTGTCTGTCCGTCCGTCCGTCCGCCTGCTATCTGTGTGCCTGCCTGTCTGTCTATCAATCCGTCCATCCGTCTGTCTGTCTGTCTGTCTGTCAAACAATCTATTTATTAACTACATAAATTATGCATTTTTATTCTGACTTTGTATAAAAATGTATTTTTGTAACTTTTTGAGTTACAACAAAGTTAATAGTTATATAAGAATTTAAGATGCAATTTGCACTATACAATACATTCATCTATCTATCATATGAGTATGTCATGCAGGCAGAAATTTTTCGTGACGTATACAGTACACAAACTGCAAAAATTAAAAAAACAATTATGATCATAGCCTTTGTCGCTCCCTGGACTCTACTATATGAATAGCTACTTCTATTCACATAAAATTCTAAGTCATATAACATGTACAGAAACACTCACAAAGTCTTAAGCCTTTAAACTCCGGCTGATTTGCACATGCACACATTTGGTAGAAGATGTGATAATTCCTCTCATTCTCTGACTGAAGAGAACAAATGAGATATTATGAGTAGTTATTCTGTTATGTCAAGTTTACAAACCATAAAAAGCATCTTTCACCTGAAAAACCACCCTTGACTTTTCCAGAAGGTATGTCCTCATGTTGGCACCAATGATTTGGTATCTTTTGTCGAAGCTGATCTCAGTGTACTTCCCAAATCGACTGCTGTTGTCATTTCTGGTTGTTTTTGCATTTCCAATGGCCTGCAAACACATCAAATATTGCAAAATATATATAGATAAACAAGTGTATGATGATCCAGTGATCTGATCCTGATGGTTTGTTTTACCTCAGTGATCGGGTTGGATGCCAAAACTTTGTCCTCCACCCGAGTTTTGCTGCCAGATTTGCTAACCACAGCGAAGTACCTCATAGCATAGCGAGCAGATACGGTCTTTCCAGCCCCGGACTCACCGCTCACAATGATGGACTGATTCTTGTTATTCCTGCAGTTTGAACAAAAAAAAAAGTTGCACTAAAATACCAACTGGGTCTCGTTTTGATCTTAGCTTGTAAAACCTGTACAGTTGGTTATTTAGCATATGTTTGTGCCAGTTCAAAACATAAAGTCTTTCTGAATCAACCAAGACTTATAGAGGTAGTTTAAGACATAACGCTTCACCTGGCCATTTGTTTGTAGGCCTCTTCAGCCACAGCAAATATATGAGGGTCCAGGTCGCCCATGTTTTGACCAGAGTAAGCATGGATGACCGCATCTCCATAGATGGGAAGCTGCTTGTATGGATTGACTGCCACCAGGATAATTCCTGAGATGGTAAATATGGGTGAAGTGATCAAATCAGTGAAGGAGGTTCACATTAAGGAAGCAATTCTACAGATGACCTACCGCAATATGTGTAGATGATTTTGGACTCGACAAATCTGACTTTGAGGTTGTGTAGCACGGCCGGCTCGTGAAGGTAACTGAGGGCTGTGAGGTCATTCTCACCCACCAGGATGTCCGGGTTACGGAGGGGTGGCAACTTCTCACCCCCTTCCAGAGGATACTGCAACTCCTGCAAGAGAGGTTCACAAAGAGAGCCATTTACTTCATTCCTGGATGAATCAGCCGTTTGAACGAATCGAATGAATGAATGAATCACTCGATGACTTTCTCATTAAGACATTTACTGCCACCTATTGGCAGTTTTCGTTTCTAATTTAGAGCATCATTTCATTAAAAAATAAAATAAAAATTTCCATATCCTCCTGGGACCCAGGCATAGACATTTGTCCTCTATAGAGGACATTATATTTTAGTGAATTTCTCTGAGAGTATTCAGGGCTTTTTAGAAATATCAAATGTGTGGAGGTTTGATCATAAACACACCTTCTCCTTGGTCTTTAAATATGACTGATATTGACAGAATGATCAAATTTAGCACTCTTATGGAAATATGATAATGTTTTGTAATTATCTTTTAAATCTGACTGATTTTCAAATTGCTTGGCGTTAATAAACATCTCAGAAAAATGTTATGGGGTTTCAAATCAGAATATGAGTTTTTGTTACGAAACAGGGCATAATTTTCATACATGTCTTCAGTAGAGGACACCAGGACAAACGGCTGTTAATCAGGCATTTTGGAGAAACACAACAAGAAATTACAGATCAATAAATGTTCCTATGAAATATGAGATATTTTTATGAAAATGTTGCTAAGTTATTACTCCCATTATTACACTTCTTTTTCATTGTGGTTTGCCCCAAGAACACATTAATATGAAAATTAGATTCAATGTATAGATACATTAAATAAAATGGGAATATCAATTTATGGACATTTTACGCACATATTCCATAAACTACAGTTGTAGTATATCATGCTGGTATATCTTTCATAATATAGTCGAGAATCATCTTTGTACAAAGTCTGGCTAAAAATAGCCTGAAACCTAAAAACTGATTGGTGAATGAAAAAAATAAATCCTTGTTTTTGCCTATTTTTTTATTTTTATTTTTTTAATAACTTAGTCCTGCATATAATAAAATATGAATAAAATATATTTTTTCAGCATTTGTTTCTTATGCTCCAACCAATGTAATGACATAAAAAATTAACTTTTTTTAGGGTTCTCAGGAGGATATTAATAATAAAATATGAAAATAAAAATGAAAAAAAAAAACAATTAAAGGGACAGTTCACTCAAAAATTAAATTATATATTAGTAATTCAATATCAATAATTAGTAATTAATTTGTGGTTAAATCGGCTAATTAATTGCCACATTGTGTAATTAATTACATTAAAATTTTAATCACTTGACAGTGGATTGAATTTCTGACACTGTGTGTTTTAATATTAACATTAATATTTTAGGTTAAAATTTATATGAGTGTTTGCTTCATGTCATTTAACTCAGCTCACCGACTTTCACCATAAAATAAAACTTTTAACATTTTAAAATAACTTTTTTTTTTTTTAATTTTCAAATGGAAAACTCAAAAAAAAAAACTCAAAACAACAACAACAACAAAAAACACTTTCCTTATAAGAAGTTTTTTGGACATCATTGCAAATGCTACAAATAACTGAAGAATCTTGATAATGCAGTGTATGATGTATAAAAACTACTTAAAAAAAAAAAGTCTATAAACAGATTTAACTCTGGTTTTGTCCTACCGTGCCATCCTCCAGCTGTAGTTCCAGGACAGTCTCACCAGGCTTGAAATCTGTCAGAATCTCCGCAGATTGCCAAACATGTTCCGCGTCAGGGATCCACACCCTGTTATACTACAGCACAAAACTCACATTAATTCCATAAGACCGTGCTTTTGGAAAATAAGAAGTTTCGTATGGCTTATGTTTTTGAGCTGTTACAAAATACCAACGAATAGGAAACGATGACCATATGTCACTAAGCTTGAATCAATAATGTTGAGAGACTATTATATTCTCAAATGCATGCATGATATACTAAAATATCACGTTAATAAACTTGCTAAAACACTTCTCAAAAGTGAAGCACTTGCTAAGCATACCTTTGTATACAACTCCGACAGAGCCATGGCAACAGGTCCCTTCGCACAGATTTATTTTATATCGAAGGCACTTTCTCATGATACTTACAGGCGAAACTAATATTCATACGCCTATTTTTTTAGCCATGGCACCAGCTAAATGTCTGGAAATGACGGTGGGAACTTCCTCGCTCACCTGCGACCGCCGGCGAAACTACGAGTCCTACTATAGTGAAGGAGCTGCTTAATATTCATGAGTGTCATTAACATACACGGAACACGTATTAATATTCATGAACAGGTCTTTGTTCTTGTTGTTTTCTGCGTTGTATTTCACTAATTAGTACATATCAACCTACCAACAATATTTGAAAAATTCCAAAGTCCATAAATAAGTTTGTCTTCATTTTGAAATAAACTCCCAAAGTTGCATCCTGAGGTAACACAATTCAATTTAATTTCTAATGAAGAAAATCGAGTTGAAACGTAGTCGAGAGGACAGAAATTATGAAAAGAAACATGGATTAAAAAAAATAACAGCATTGAAAGCATTTCTATACAGTATCATATTTTAAACTATGGTCGCACATGTGCTTTAATATAACACATGGAATACGAATAGCCCTAGTTTAAAAAAAAAAAGTAACTTTTAATAAGGTCGGCATATGACCTATTTAATATTCATGAGATTATTCTTCGCCATAGTGCGGTTCGCGTCGCGCGAACTTTGACTGCTTCCCACTGTGTGCTAGCGAGTCTCGTGACGCTTTGCTTACCGTAGGGGTGTGTTCATTTGAACAAGGATTTGAGAGCAAGGGAACAGGATACTGCTCTTACTCATTCAGTCAATGACTGCACAAGTATGCGGACATATGATCCAGCTGATCGGACATGAAGACAAGCTTTTTGCACATTAAAATACAAAAGACAGTTAAGATAAATAATTGATCAAAATTGTTTAATGCACTTTTTTTTTTGGTTACACTTTACTTGAAGGGGTGTGCATAAGACTGACATGACACCTACATAATCATAACACATGTCATGAATGTGAAGGTTTTTATGCATGTTCATGACAACTGTAATTAAGTGTCATTCGCTCAGTTATGTCATTTTTTATGCAAAGATGACATTGTTTGTGATGTCTTTGTTATGGGCTATGGTTAGGGGTAAGGGTAGGGGTAGGGTTAGGTCAAATAATGTCATATTTGCATTAAAAATGACATAACTGAGCGAATTACACTTAATGACAGTTGTCATAAACATGCATAAAACCTCCTTCATATTCATGACATGTGTCATGCTTATGAAGGTGCCATGTCAGTCGTATGCACACCCCTTCAAGTAAAGTGTTACCTTTTTTTTTTTTACCTATCCATGACACATAGACTACACATCCTTTATGTATATGCATGCATGATATATGCATACTCAGTACATACACGTGTTCAACTGAACTGCAACAAGAAGCACAAATTAATCTATCATCAATTTGAGATTTTTATTTTAATATTCTTATACTTAAAAAATTAGTCTGAAAAGGTGTAGCCTATACTCCTTCTGTTTTGAAGTTACTCCATCTGGATCAAGATGGGATCAGTACTGTGAGCATATAAAATGGCTTAGCAATTAGGTCAAATGCTATGCTGTCAAGTATGAAAAGTGAAGCCTGCTGCATGCAGAGGATGTTAGATCATCAAGATCAGTATGTGCAAAATCAGGTAATACCAGTTCGTCCTCGCCGCAGTGCTGGAAAATACAAAAATAAAAAGAATCTGAAGAGCATTAAAAACACAGTTTAATTTAATGTTCTGTCCACATTTCCAGTAAAAAAAAATACCTGTGTAAATATCTAGAATCACCAACAAAATAAAAAGATCTACTTGAGAGTGAAACTATCTTTACATAAAGTGGCAATATTAATATTTGTACTCCATAAAAAGTAACTAATTGCATTACTTAGTTACTTTTTATGGAAAGTCATAAATTACTTTACTTTAAAAGTAATCTGATTACGTAACTCGCGTTACTTGTCATCCGTTATCCCCAACACTGGTTACTTCTTCCATATAAAGACATTCAGCTAGAAGATATGAAAGGTAAAAAACACACCATAAAATAGTCCATACAGCTTCTGAAGCCATAATATCTTACCATATTTGAATTCCATACCATGATGTTCATACATTTCAATATATATGTTATTACTACAACAGCTATTGCTGTTGATATATAGACAAATCAAATCAATAATGAGGAATATGTTGCATCTTTGTCTTACCATCTTTTAAAGGTTTTAACATATAAATACATTTAAAGGAATACAACTTTTGTGATATTTGGTATCATATTCTCTCCATTCCACAACAGTCTCTGAGCGAGCAGCATCTGGTGGTTCAATCTCAATGAGGTACAAAGTAAAAAGGCACTTCCTGTAAATAAGTTATATTAGAAATCAGACGATTTATGGCTTTTGGACCTCTTGGGCAGCCTTTGACGGGAACCCCTGGGTTTGGACAGGTTTTGGACATACTAGGGAGCTTGGAGTCCAGGGTTGCTGAGACAGGTATCTCTGGGACTGAGATGGTCTTGGAAGCTTGCCTTGGCAGAGGACGTTCCATGAACCTCTGAGACATCAGAAACAGGACCCTTTGTGTGTCTGTGACAGGAATTGATGGAGCAGCCGAGACCAAGAGCACTGGCATTGAGGATAATGAGAGAGACGTGTGGACAAGCCATGGCGGGAACCTCTTTAGTAGCTGTGTGTGGCAGAGAATGTGAACGCTGTCATTGTGGAGGGGGAGACAGAGAGCTCTGGTATTTGGACAGCTGTGGCAAGAACCTCAGGAATGGAGTGGCCATGATGGGAAAAACAAAAGGGGCAACCAAAAGAAGTATGTACATATATACAATACGTACACATCCCTCCGGAAGCAGTACCGCCAGATGCAAATACTGCTTCCTCAAGCCAAGACGCAAGACGCTACACAAGGCTTGCTCGCCCCGCTAGACGCAAAGCAGCATGAGAGACGCCAACTGGAGTTGTCTTATGTGACGACCTGAAACAAAATGGAAAAAACAACAGGTTTGACTTTTTGGTTCCTTCCCATGAAAAATTTATTATTTTTAGCTGGTCTCAGGTTCACTACCTTAAACCAGTTGTGGGACATGATTTGCCCCAGACCAAGTCGCCGGCTTGGCTTTTCAAGCAGGAGAGCCCTGAGGAGGTGACCGCATTCTGTGCAGGAAGACGGGAAGGACATTTAATCTTGAACTTTATATCTGCTCTATTTGATCATGTTAATCAAAACTCTAATATATTTTGTATGATCCTGATTTATAAAAAAAAATTTGTGATGAAGATCTCACCTTTTGACAGGCCGGGTTTGGACCAGTGCTTGTAATGCAGCAGGAACAGGTCATAGTCACTAGGGAAACGTCCACACAACATTGTGAACATCAGAACCCCTGGTGACCAGACTGTCGCCGGCCTGCCGTAGTACTTCCCCCTGCTGTGGTACTCTGGAGGGGAATATACTGCTGTGCCTGCAGGAGAGAGGAGTTTGTATGATGTGTAAGTTTGCAGTAATGCAGCACGACTGTTCTGTATCTATTAGGTCACTACCTTAAACCAGTTGTGGGACATGATTTGCCCCAGACCAAGTCGCCGGCTTGGCTTTTCAAGCAGGAGAGCCCTGAGGAGGTGACCGCATTCTGTGCAGGAAGATGGGAAGGACATTTGATAACCTTAAACTTTATATCTGCTCTATTTGATCATGTTAATCAAAACTAAGATACTTTGTATGATTCTGAATGAGTTATTTTTTGTGATGAAGATCTCACCTTTTGACAGGCCGGGTTTGGACCAGTGCTTGTAATGCAGCAGGAACAGGTCATAGTCACTAGGGAAACGTCCGCACAACATTGTGAACATCAGAACCCCTGGTGACCAGACTGTCGCCGGCCTGCCGTAGTACTTCCCCCTGCTGTGGTACTCTGGAGGGGAATATACTGCTGTGCCTGCAGGAGAGAGGAGTTTGTATGATGTGTAAGTTTGCAGTAATGCAGCACGACTGTTCTGTATCTATTAGGAAGAAATTAATTATATCATACACACCATGGTATGACTTGTATGGTGACCTACTCAGAATGTCCCCGCATCCGAAGTCAATCAGCTTGACTTCGGATGTCTCCCTGTTTATCAGAAGGTTGTCAAGCTTGACGTCACGGTGGAGCACTCCGCGGAGGCAGCACATGTTTGCAGCGTTGAGCCGACTGCCACATGTTTTTCCGTGCTGTTTCTTCATCAAGGCTTCCACCGAGACACCTCATGAACTCTACCAGATTCTCACAGGGAGAGGGACATTCGAGGACCATGATGAAGTGGTCAGGGTGGTCCTGCCAGTCCAGCAGCCTGATGATTTCTGGTGATTTCTGGCACCTTTATTCGCCAGGATGGTGAGGGCGATTTCTTTTGGAAGGGGGACTGGATGATCAGGCTAGAAGACAGATCGTTTTTACAATGGTTAGATGAAGGTGGTTTCCCAAATAGGGATTTGTATTAATATTAATATAAAATGTTTTATATTGTTTATATAGTGCAATGTACTTACAATGAATAAACATTCTGTGTGCTGTGTCTTCGTGACATATTTCAAAGCCACCTGATGAACAAAAATAGAACTTAAGAAACACTAAGAGGGCTTAGAGTAAAGGATGAGACAGGACAAACATTTGATGGCTTGATAATGTGTTATTTATATTAACTTACTTTAAGATCATCCTCCAGACGTCTCCCTTCATACACCACGCCAAATCCACCTTTCCCCAGCTGATCACCAATGGTGTAGCGGCTGAAGATGTAGTCTATTAAAAGATCAAATGAGGATGAGGATGTTGAACCGCCGTGTTGGTGCTGGGTTTTGGGGGTGTACTAGGATGTTGATCGTACACCTCGCCAACCGTCATCGGACTCACTTTAGTAACTCGCTGTCCCATCGCTGTAAAAAACTCACTGACCACTACAACAAACCCACAAAGAGTGTAAGAATGTCCGCGCTTTATAAAGCCCGCGAGTTCTGTTCGAACGCGCTCTATAGCGTCATAAAGCTTTGAGCGTCTCAGAACTTTCTTAAAGGG